TGTGTGCTACTATCTAGAACTTGGGGCTTAGTGGATCTAGAACTTCCATTCCCATTTGACAAATGCTACAAACACTTGAGCCCCACCTTGCTGTAGCAATCCAGTTCATTCTGATCCTTAGTCCTGGACCTGTGACAGTCCAGACTAGTTCTCTTCTCCGTTCTCAGCTGTGGTTGAATGGAGCATGTGCATAATATATCATCTCTTCAAAAAAAGTGCCTTCATTCATTTGCTCATTAGCAGATACTGGGAAGGTCATGGGAACCAACTGAAGGGCTCTAGGATTCCTGGTGTGGCACTGTAGGATCAGCACTGGACTTCGAACCACAGGGTTGGCAGTTCATACCCACCAGCTGCTCCTCGGAAATCCTATACAGGGTTGCTATGAGTCAGAACCGACTCTATGACACTTAACACCACCACCACCAACTGGCATGACTGGGGAGTGATGCGTGACGTGCACCATCACCTGGCATCAGGTTACTGTGCAGACTGTCACTCACTTGTTCACCTTTGCACTCCCAGTACTTCCCAGGAACCTGGCACAGGGCCATGGCCTACAACTACTGCTGATGCATGGTGCTGGGTAGGACTCTCGGGTGGATCCCTTTATCCCTTCAGCGCCTGCTTGTGGACTTCTACATGGAGGGCAGTGCTGTTGAAATCCCAGCCCTGAGCTGTTACCTAGGTACAGGCTAAGGCAAGAAGCTGGAATTCAAATGGCAATCAGCTCTGTCACTAAGGGCTGTGTTGAGTTGTTGTTGTCAAGTGCCTCTGAGTTGGTTCTGACCCACAAAGACCCTGTATAGGGATTCCAAGGAGTGGTTGGTGAGCTTGAACTAGTAATCTTGTGGTTCAAACCAACCTTGCAAGTCCAGCGCATTAACCCACAGCGCCACACCAGGATTCCCAGGGCACTGTTGAGTTAGGAGGACTTTTTTGTTATTTATCGCTTGAGGAGACGTTTTTGATAGAGGAAGAAATGAGAACAGAAAGCTTAGTGAGATATAATTCTTAACTTCAGAAAACTCATAGCTAGATAAGAGAAACACATTTAAAGACACAATGACACTTTGTTTTATCAAGTGCTCTAGTCAAGACTTATGAGAGAAACAGGTTATTGTGTGAGAGAACACAGAATTGCCCCGTGTGGTGGTCCAAAGAAGACCTGGTGGTGCTGTGGGTTAAGCACTGAGCTGTCAACTACAAGGTCAGTGTTCAAACCCACCAGCTGCTGTGTGGCTGTCCACTCCTGTAACTCTATATCACAATACACTCGATGGCAGAGGGTTTAGATTTATGTGTGGGTGGTGGTCCAGAGGTAACCTGAGTAATGCACTCAGCTGCTAACTGAAGGGTTGGAAGCTTGAGTCCAACCAGAAGTGCCTCCGAAAAATGCCTGCAAAAAAAATGCTTGCAAAAGAAAATCAGCCTTTGAAACCCCTACAGAACACAGTTCTCTAGCATACACCGAGTATGTATGAGTTGCAGTCCACTTAAAGGCAACTGGATTTCACGTAGTCGGCTCTGTGGTTTTTTACGCTCTGATTGTGCCACCTGCTGCCTACACCACCACACCACCAGTGTTGCTTTATTGTTGTTGTTAAGTGCCGTTGAGTAGGTTACGACTAATAGTGACCCTGTTTCTGAGGAGCAGCTGGTAAGTTTGAACCACTAACCTTGTGGTTCAAACCAACCTTGCAGCCAAGTGCTCATCCCATAGCACCACACAACCCAAACCCAGTACTTCTCCATGGCCATGGCCTCCAAACATTTTAGATGCACATCACAACCCCCTCCCTCCCTGCCCCATGCCACATCCCTCCTTCCAGGAAGCTCCAGTTCACAACCCTACCTTTAGTGTGATACCCCTCTTGTTCAGTCTTCGCTCACTCAGTTCAGTTCCAGCCGTTCTGGCCTTCCTTGCCCCTCCTGATTGGCGAAGTCCAAGGGCACTGGTGGGAGGTTCTCCTCAGAAACTGTGAAGGGCACCACAGAGTGTGGGAGAAAACAGGGGATGGTGGGAGACACAGGGTAGGAGAGACAGAGGGTTTGGAGAGACAATGGAAAATTGTAGGACAGAACTGAAAATAAATATTCAGAGACTGGGAAAAGCATATAGAAAAATATAAGTCTGATCCACAGCCTGTAAGCACCAGCCTGGGAGGTCCAACCACCTGAGTCACCAAGGTCCAAAATGGCCAGGACTTAAAAACTGACAGTTTCATTAATGGTTGTCCCTGCTTCCAATTTAGAACCAACCAATTTAGAACCAACCGGACAAAGCCTAATATGCTCCCCTAGCCAATCACGTGGGATGCCCTGACGAGTCACCCCGCCCCTTCCAGCTTCCCCATGCCAATAGCCTCCACTGAGGGCATACCTGGTGTCAACGCATAGGGCCCTTGAATATGGCTTCCTAGGAGTGATGGGTGGAGCTTGCGCTTAGCAGTCTAGTGTTGATCCGTACAGAGGCACTGTAGGACTTAGAGTTGGCCAAAGCAAGTGCTGCTAGCTAACTCCCTTGCAATTGCAAGTTTGAACAGCCATTGCCTGTACTTACTTTGATGTTCTTTGTCTATTTCCACAGAATGAAGAATTGACGGATGAAAACAGAGAATTGTGGGGCGGGGGGAGAACAAAATGGAGGTGAGAGAACATAGAATACTCAAAGTGGAAATTGTGAGGGCAAACAAAGACTTATAGGAGAGACAGGGAATTTGGGGAGAGGATAAAAATGATTATTGATAACAGAATTGTTAGAGAGTAGAGAGAACTGTGAGAGAGAGACTGCAGAGTTGTGGGAGAAAGGAAATTGTTGGAAAGACTAGAAATTGAGGGAAAGCAGAGAATAATGAGAGATCAGAGAAATGTGGGAGAGAAAGGGAATTGTGGGACAGACAAGAAACAGAGAGAGACAAGGGACTGTAGGAAAGGACAAAGATTTGGGAGACAGGAAATTGTGACAGAAAATGAAGAATTGTGGGGAAGTGAGGGAACTGTATTACAGAAAGGAAATTCTGAGAAATGTTAGAACAGGTAGCTAAAGGAAAGGAGGAATTGTGTGAGAAAATGGCGAATCATGAGAGGGACCGGGAATTGTAAGACGGACTGAACAGAGTGGAACAGACAGGAAACAAAGAGAATGGAGCACTTGTGAGAACAGGGTTGAAAGCATGAGAGAATTATGGAATATACATGGAACTGTGGGAGAGACAGGGTTGTAGAAAGGAAACGAGAATTGTGTGAAAACAGTGAATTGTGGGAAGTAGTACTAGGAATTATGAGAGGGCCGAGAAATTGTGGGTAAGGACACTGAATTGTTAAAGAGAAAAATGAATTGTGCGGGAGATTGAGAATTGTGGACGGCAGGGAATAGGAGAAAGGAAGATAGAAATACGAGGGGGCTTCAGAAAGTTCGTGGGAAAATGGGAGTAAGAAGATAACGGAATTTCTCCACGTTCTGAAGCCACCTCCTTATGAGCAAGACAGTGAACTGTGAGAGGGTTAGAGTTCTGGGAAAGAACACTGACTGAATTGTGAAAAACAAGAAATTGTGGGAGCTACAAAGGGTTGTGGGAAAGAACAGAGTACTATAGAGAGACAGGGAATTGTGGGAAGGACGGGAACCTCTGGGAAACAACATTGCTGTGGGAAAGGGGAACGTGGGAACAAAAAGAGACTTAGGAGAGAAACAAAATTATGGGAGGTACATGGACTTCTGGGAAAGGACACGTTTATATTGTAATTGTGACACCTACCGACTAAGTACACCTGTGGCGCTATGGGCTAATGCACCAGACTGCAAAGCCGTTTGGACTGCCAAGGTCGGCAGTTCAAGCTCGCCAGCTTCTCCACGGAAACCCTACACGGGATCGCTATGGATCGGAAAGAAGCTCTGGCAGCCTAGTGGTTATGAATCGGGCTGCTAACCTCAAGGTCAGCAGTTTGAAACTACCAGCGGTTCCGCGGGAGAAAGATGAGGCTTTCTGCTTCCATAGAGATCTACAGCCTCAGAGACCCTATGCAGGGTCGCTGTGAGTCGGAACCAACTCCATGTCCCATAACAACAGTTACCCCTCCACAGCTGACAGCCTTACTCGGGAAATTTCTGGAACAGAAGACAATCTCGCTTCTCCCAGCGCGTGACTGAAGGAGCGCCACGGGGTGGAGGCAGAGAGCGCACGCGCGCCCTCACATTCCCGTCAGACTGCACGAGGAAAGGCTCACCGGAAGTCTCGCGTCTTTATTCAGTGCCCTGCCTCCTGTGTTCCCGGAAGTCCCGCCTTCGGAAAAGGAAGCGGTTGTACGAACGGGCGCTTGCGGTGACCGCAGCGACCCGGTGAGGAGAAGGTGGCCGTGACGACGGCGGCGGCATTGAAGGGTCGCTGCTGCTTTGGGTGTTGGTTGGCGGTTGAAGGCAGGGGCCCGCCGCCCGGAGCAGCCTGGAGGAGGTGTCAGGTGCGGAGCGGCGGCCGGGGGGAACAAGAGTCCCTGGGCTAGAACAAGTGGGCGGCACGCGAATGGTTTGATGGAGACTGTGACCTCACCCTGGCCTCCGTTGTCCTTTCCTTGCCCCGACACCCCCTTTCTGCATCTAACCCTTCCACGATCCTTTCTCTAAGGCTTTGAAGCTGGGAATCTGGGCCTCCCCTGTCCCATCCAGACCACCACTTTGCAGCCCCGCCCCACAGGCCTGTGCAATTGTCTTTCCTCTTTCTTAGAGACCTCCTCACCCTTAGAAATGTTCCCCCACAGTAAGGCATAGGTCTCACACTAGAATGATACCCTAAAATGGGGAATCTATTCAAAGGGATCCTCCAACTGGGTATCCTACCCCTAGGTTCCCATAAGGATAGAATGACAGGTGGGAAGAACAGGGTTGGCCGGATTAGCATGACTAGAGTGTTGTCTGACCGAGGAGGCATCAGCTGTAACATGTCTCTGCTTTGGCGTGTGTGTATTTAGATTTGTTGGGAGTCAGCACGGCGATTCCAGCTATGGGTATGTCTGTATCCACTCCTGCTGTTGCGGTTCAGACCACCAATGCTCCAGACCATCAGAGGGCATCTCCGCCTTCAGGATGTCCAATGCATGAAGGAAAGATGGGAGGTAATCTACTGCTTAGGAAATTAAAGTTCTCAAAGGGATTTTAAAGCAGAGGCAGGATAGTGTGCTAGGGAAGCCCCTGGGGCTGGGAGCCAGCTAGGACCTTATTTTGTTCTGTGTATGGTATGTAACTGGACTCCTGGTGTGGCACTGTAGGATCAGCACTGGACTGCGGACCACAAGGTCAGCAGTTTAAACCCACCAGCTGTTCCTTGGAAGCCCTATACAGGATCGCTGTGAATTAGAACAGACTCGACGGCACCTAACAATAACAATATGATGTATAACTTAAGTTGTTTCTGTTACGTCTGTTCCACCATCTGTAAAGGAGCAAACTGGTAATATTTTAAAGGGTTATTGTGAAAATTCATTGAGGTAGTACCTGCAAATATTTCAGGCAGTGCTTGACATAAATTGACTCCCACCCTCAAAGTTTACTAGCTGGGGGTACGATTGTGCCTCCCCACCCCGGGAATGCATTTGACATGGAACCATTTTTGGTTGACAGGACTGGAGGAGATGGTATTGCTGGCATCTGGTAGGTCAAGAAGGCTGCTTAACCTCCAATGCACAGGACACTCCTTAACAGAATTCTCCAGCCCCAAATGTCACTAGTGCGGAGGCTGGAAGGCCTGGTTTAGATGTTGCTGTCTCCCTAAACTTTACTCCCACCTGCACTGCTCTGAAACCAAAGCAGCCCCTGGCAGACTGACAGTTCATTCAGAGGGAAGTGGCAAAGTTGTCATTGGCTCTTCATTGGCCCATGTCTGCTGGAGATGGTATACACAGATGTCTAGAGTCCGCCTGGCCTTTGGCTCCTTGTAGCCATGAAGGGAATGAAGAGCCAACCTGAGACACTTCCAGAGTCCTCGTGGGTCCTTGCGTGATAGTTGTTCATGTCGTCAACAAAGATGCACTGGCGTTGGTTGATTTTTTTGCTCTGAGAGAACCAAACACCAAGCACCAAATCAAACCAAACTCATGGCTGTTGAATTGGTGCTTGCCAACTCAGAGCCACCCCACATGACAGAGTAGACACGCCCATAGGGCTTCCAAGGCTTGAGGGGAGCAAACTGCCACAGCTGTCTTCTGTGGAGCAGCTGATGGCCTTTTGGATAGCAATTGAATGTTTAATCACTGAGCCACCAGGCTCCTCCCTGAGAGAACAGCAGAGTACAAGACAGACCAAAATCCTCTGCTTACCTACTCGTCCACAGAATTGTGTGCGATAGATTTTTCTCCCTGTTTTATACTCAAGCAAACTGAGGTATGGGCTAACTAACTGGTCTTCTCCCAAGTCACACAGCGAATAAATGACAAAGCTTGTGAAAGACCTGTAAACTTGGACAAGGACAAATGCAATGATTCAGAAGCAGGAGACATGCGAGGCCCTGGACACTATAGAGCTGTCCTCGGGTAGATTTCACTTGGCTCCTGGAAAGCCCTAAGTCAGGCTCATTTGCATTAGTAAAGGGTGGGGGCGTTTTCTGGAGATTGAAGGTGCTGCTGTATGTTGTATGTTGTTGTATGAGTCAGTTCCAACTCATAGCAACCCTGCGTAGGGTTTCCAAAGCTATAAATCTTTGCCAGAGCAGAAAGCCTCACCTTTCTCCCGCTGCCTAAAACAGCCTTCCCCCTCACCTGAGCAGCCCTCTCGCTGGGCCGTAGCTCCCCAGCTGCCTTCCCCTCGCTCTGAGAGCAGCTCCTCAGGCCCTGGATCCTTGAGTGCTGGCGGTGCTTCCTGCTGCTGCTCTTCCTAGGCTCAGCCTTGCCCTCCTCCTCTGGCAGAGTGGGGGGTGGGCGGATCCAGGCAGAGAGTTGTGTGCTCTGTCTGGTTTCATTCATTCTGAGAAGAAGATCCAGGCACCGTGACACTCAGATGCTGTGCCATTAGCCTTTTATGTTTGGATACAAACAATGGATGTGGGAAAAATCGGAGGTTTGAGTCCACCCAGAGGTGCCGCAGAAGAAAGGCTTGGTGATCTACTTCTGAAAACACAGCCATTGACAATCCTCCAGAGTACAGTTCTCCTCTGACTCACTTCGGGTTACCTGGAGTCACCCAGTCTACTTTGGATCCTGTCTGTGAGAACTTATCCCTGAGCACATCCAGGGGGTGGGGAGGGCTCTAGACTTTGTTGTGCCCCCGCCTAGGGCTTCTCTTCTAAAGCTTCCTTGTGGGTCACCCCAGGACGCTGTACAAGACCCACTGGACCGGAAGCTGTGGCCTTTTGTGTCTGATCCTGTCCCCTGCACCTGATAGGGCAAGGTCTTGTCTGCAACTTCTCGTGGCAAGTCAGGGACACTGGGTTCAGTGTGGCCCGACCCTTAGCTAGGTCCCTTGACAGCAGCTGACTGTTGCAGTGCAAGCTGGGTACCAGTTCTCAAAGCAAGGGAGGAGAGAGGGGATTGCAAAATGTTAAGTGTTAGAAACGCACCATCTATGAATTGTTGGACAGGAAGCCAAGGTGCTTCGCAAACTTCCACCCAAACCAGGACACAGACAAGCTCTTGCCACTGATGAGGTGTCCTGTGTGTTTGTGTTTGGTGGGGGCATGGCACAATAAGATAGGTCTCCGGACCTCTTTCTGAGATGAAGCTTGCACAATGTCTTCATATTTGTAGGACTTAGAGGTGGTAGGTAGCTTAGCTCTTGGTAGCTCTTGGTCATCACTGGTCAAAACTGAAGCTCTTTAGTGCCCCTACAAGGAGAGCTGGATCTTGCTGGTGGAATGGGTTAAGTTTTTGCTGGCCGCCAAATTTAGCAGTTCAAACCCACCAGCCACTTCTTGGGAGAAAGATGAGGCTGTGTGTCCTGGTATTGACTGACAGTCTTACACCCTAAAGGGCAGTTCTGCTGTGTCCTCTAGGGTCATTATGAGTTGCAATCAGCTCTTTGACAGTACGTTTTGGGGCAGTGAGTGTGGGGAGAGGCATTTGCCTTGCCTTTGAGGTGACCCCCTTTTCATACTTGATTTCTTTCAGATTGTCCAGTGCCCACAAACCCATCAGATGCCACGTGTGAGAGCAGGACACACTCTGTGCCTGCCCACCAGGAGCGGGCCTATGAGTATGTAGAGTGCCCTGTGAAGGCCACGGCGTCTGACAATAAGGAGAACCTAGATCTTGCTAATCTGGTAATGCCTGCTCATCTCTGCTGCTTACCACTGTGCCCAGCTGCTTTTATGCTGAAGAATCAGCACTGGACTGCTAACCAGAAAGCTGGTGGTTCAAACCTACCAGCTGATCCTCGGAAGTCCTATATAGGGTCGCAACGAGTCAGAACCAACTCGATGGCACTTAGCAACAAGAAGGCAGAGTGAAGGCTGTTAGGGCCGATGCTTTTGTCCTTTTAAAACAAACACTTTGGATAGTCCTCCCATAGTGAAAATCTGAAATGAATGAGTTACAGAGGCTAGTTTTAGAGAATGTCTAGGGAAGAAAAGTGCTTCCTAAAAGCCAGAATAGTGTTACTGGAAAGAGACTGTGCCAAACGAGTCTTTTCTGTCAGACTAGAGTTATCAGGTTGTTGTTGTTGTTTTATGTGCCGTGGAGTTGGTTCCGACTCATAGCGACCCTGTGCAGGGTTTCTGAGGCTGTAAATCTTTACAGGAGCAGAAAGCCTCCTCTTTCTCCCATGGAACAGCTGGTAGTTTTGAGCTACTGCTGACCGTGAGGTTAACAGCCCGATTCGTAACCACTACACTGTAGCCCTGGAAAATTCAAAAAGTAGTACAGCTAGAGTTAGCCAAGCTGGTTTGGGTCTTGGGAAAACCTTGTAGGCACGCTACAAGATGGGGTGTTTCTTCAGGCACAGGTGGGCGCCACGTGCACCGGAGTCACAGTGTGATGCAGTGTCACATGACTTCCAGCGACAATAATGCCATCAGGGAGAATGAGGACAAGACAGGTTGTGGCTTCTGCATAGAGCATAGAGATTCGTTTTCTGGGCTCATCATTTTACCGGATTGGGGCCTGCTCATCAAGAGAATCTGGCAATCCTGGTGAATCCGTTGCCAAAAGCAAAAAGACAAATGTAAGCAGTGTTTGTTTATCATGTGTGAGAACTTAACTCAGAGGGAAAAAGCACTTCAGTACTTGTAAGTCTTCACACCAGCCCAATCCTTGAATGCCACTGGTCTCTAGGAAGCCTGTACCTCGAGTGTGGGACATTGCTTTCCAGAAAGTAGTTAGTTTTTTTTTTTTTTTTAATCTCCTCTTTCTAACATTCAACCATTGGCTGCTTTGATGTAGATGCCACCACCCAATCAGACGCCGGCCCCAGACCAGCCCTTTGCTCTGTCAACTGCCAGGGAGGAGTCTTCTATCCCGAGAGCAGGTTCCGAGAAAAAGTGGGTGTACCCATCAGAGCAGATGTTTTGGAATGCGATGTTAAAGAAAGGGTGAGTGAGCAGACCTTCTTGCTCAGCAGCCTCATCTAAGAATTAAATGTCAAAGAACATTTTTAATCCCCCAAATGTTCAATCAATACGTGTTAGTGCATCCGTTTCTGCTCATCAGCTGCTTTTTCTGACACATCAGAACCTAAAGGCTAAGGCTGGTCATGGTTAAGAGGAAACGAACGATGTAAGATGCTTCAAAAAAGTGGGCAATCATTGGTCAGTGGCAGGATCTTGGTGTAACTGGGTTTGCGGCTCTGTGAAAGAGACTTTGGGGAACTTAGAACCCTTATTTCTGGTGTATCTTTAATACTTTGGGTTTGGAGACTACGCTGCAATTATAAGTGAATCTTCCCAATGAAGATCAGTCACATAAACTGATAGACTGAGCATTCTTCATTCTTTCATAAAGGGTTGTGTGTAATAAATACTCCTATTAATCCATGGATTCATTTTTTGGCGATCTTAGTAATATTTGTAAACTGGTAACAAATGTACTTTTCTAGGTGGAAGTGGAAAAATGAGGATATTAATCAGAAAGATATGTATAACATCATTCGAATTCACAACCAGAATAACGAGCAGGCTTGGAAGGAGATTTTGAAGTGGGAAGCCCTTCACGCCACGTAAGTCTGCTCGAGTCAGAACCTGCAAACGTGCCTTTGAGCAGCTTTCCTGTTTACAGTTTTCTGAGTTTCCCACTGTATGTAGATAACTGTGGCGTGTCATGCTGTGTGATAATCTCCACCACCCCGTTTTGTGATGCCCATGGGTGCTGTGGGCCTCAAGTGGCTGGGGTGAACTGGCAGCATTGGCAGAAATCCTCCAAAAGCCCCGTCTATGTCTTGGCTAACATCCAGCTAATAACTTTCTTAAGTTTTGTTTCATAATATTTGGAATCTGAAATTCACTAGGTGTTACCGGTTGGGCAGTGGACCCGGAATGGATGCTGGGGGTGGGTGACACTACCCCCCCATCAGTAACCTGCAACTGTCAGGAGTCACCTTCCCACTTGCTGATGAGGGGCAATCCCAGGTGTCTACATATGACAATGTGCTGTAACACGCATGTTCCTCCGAGCCACTCTGGAACCAAGGAATGCGCACAAAGGAAATTTAAGGGTGACTCTCAGCCCCTTTTCTAGTCATTTTCCAGAGGTGTGTCAGAATTAAACCGCTTGTTTAAAGTATCATAGTCCCAGGAGAAAGTCTACCTGAATTAAATGTCATGTAACTGTGTCCCTCTGGAGAGAGAAGCTAAAGAGCTGTTCGCACAGGTGGGGAATAGCGGAAATCCTAGATTTGGGTGTGAAGTCCTGTCCTTACTAGAGACTAGACATAAAGATGGATGCCTGTCTTACCAGTGGACACAAGTAATAAGACAGACGGCCTCATGATGTCCCGTTTCCCCTCCTGCACAGGGCAATAGGAAGGCAGGGCTAGGAGGGCCTGCTACAGGGAGGGCCTCAGCTTGTATTTCATCATTTCATTTTTTAGGAGGATGGTCCAACACTAATTACAATCTGTTCCTAGAAATTCGACTTTCCTGTTGCTCTGCTCATGATGCTGTTCAGTGGTTTCAAATGAAAGAAGGGGACAGACTTTTTTTTAGGTTGATCGGAAACATCCCCAGTCACTCTATTCAAAAGAGAAGTGTGATCTTCTGTTTTGTTCAAAGCCTCTGTTTCTTCTGTCTTCCTGCTCCATGTGGCAGGGCCCTATTTCCTGACACTTGCAAAGAATAGTGCACAAGTTTGGAAGGAAGTGTCCCCTTGGGACAGAAATAGAGAGGAATGTTCTTAACAAAAATTGGAGTAGTTCTTTCAATTGTACCTTCATTCCTTTTTCTGAAAATGTGATCTTTTGTAAAGGAAATATAGAAATAATATATACTACTGAGGAATTAGGACGGAGTCCTGGTGTAGCGCTGTGGGTTAATGCGCCAGACTGCCAAGCCATTTGAACTGCAAGGTCGGCAGTTCAGGCTTACCAGTCACTCCTCAGAAACCCTGTATAGGGTCGCTATGGGTTGGATCCGATTCGACGGCACTTAACAACAACAATTAAGGAATTAAGGAGCTCTGGTAACTTAGTGGTTACAAATTGGGCTGCTAATCTCAAGGTCATCAGTTTGAAATTACCAGCGGTTCTGCGGGAGAAAGATGAGGCTTTCAACAACAACAACTAAGGAATTAGGAGTCCTGGTGTAGTGTGGGATAAAGCACTGGACTGCAAGACTGGTTTGAACCACAAGGTCAGCAGGCCTTGGAAAATCTATACAGGGTTGCTGTCAGTTGGAACCAACTTGATAGCACTTAACAACAACAACAAATTATGGAATTAGAACATCCTAGTTTTCAAAGTAGGTATTTTAACTTTTCTTTTCTGGGGATTTCTAGGGAATGTCCTTGTGGTCCATCATTGATTCGGTTTGGGGGTAAAGCGAAAGAATATTCACCAAGGGCAAGAGTCCGTTCCTGGATGGGGTGAGTACCAGTACAAAAATACTAGTGTCCCTTCCCCAGATCAGGATAAAGTAAACAATCTAAAAAACTGGTGTCAAGGAAAAAGAACAACCAAACCCATGAAGCCCCCCAAAAGCCCCAGAAACTATGTACAGCACCACCCTCCCAAACTGAAGAGTATTCCTCCTTGTGTAGTCCCACACGATGTCAGCATCTTCCTTTCTCTGAAGTTCGCCCATTGATTAGCCAGGTTTCTTAGGCTTAGTGGGTTGCTTCCTAGCTGATTATTGTAGGATTGAATTGCGCTATTGTCGTTTTCTTGCTGACTGCTTACTTCTCCCGTGATGAATCTCTTGGGATGCACCTACTTCTCTCACCTGGCCTGCAGATCTCAGCTAACCTCCCTGATCTGGGTCTCTGTGCTGTTGATTGCTTCCTTTGCCCACACACTAGCTGCCATCGAACCTGAAGTCATTCCTTTATTCAGCACCACGTTTCTTTAGCTCTTTAGACTGTGATGCTCCAAGTGAGGCTCATCTCCCCAGTGTGATGTGTCACTCTCGGCAGGCATGCACACATGTTCTTCTGGATCTTACTACAGCTTGAACCAGAACTGAGCACACGTGGAGCAGTGTAACCCTCCCTGGCATGTTTTCGTTGCAGGTATGAGTTGCCATTTGACAGGCATGATTGGATCATCAACCGCTGTGGTACAGAGGTGAGGTACGTTATTGACTACTACGATGGCGGTGAGGTGAACAAGGACTACCAGTTCACCATCCTGGACGTCCGTCCCGCCCTTGATTCCCTCTCTGCGGTGTGGGACAGGATGAAGGTCGCCTGGTGGCGCTGGACTTCATAACCACTGTTTTGTTTCAGACGGAAAAATAGAAACTATTTTTTCTGAGAAAGCTATTAAACTATTTTCCCCAAACTGAATTGCATTCATGATGAAGTAGGAGCTTCAAGTTGGTAATCAGACAGAGCAGTTGTTTAATCCCTTGTGCATCACATTTTACCTTGTAGTTTGCAGCAGGTCCTTTTACATTTTCTGCCCACCTAGCTTACCCAGTATCCCCTTTTAACAGCAGTGTTATGTATGTATTTATGTAATACAGAAAAATATGAGCGACCTCTGAAAAGAACTTAACAATTATAAAGGACACTCTTCTTGTCCTTACCATGTTCTCCTGAATACCTGATAAGTAAACTCTGAACGCCCATTTGATACTCCAGAGGTCTTACCTCATTAAACACCTGAACTAAAAACTGTTCATTATCACTAAGAAGTAGTTGTACTTTTTAAAAAGTGAGTCTGTTTCTAAAGTCCTCCAAGAGCATAGTAACACCTGGACATAATCAAAAGGTATCCACTGGAACTGTCCTCAGCAAAACTGAGGCAAATCTTGGGTCTGATCTAAAAGGACTTTTCAAACTGGATCTTGTTCTAGAATGTAGGCAGTGCACGAGGGGATTTTGTTCCAACGACTCCATCCATAAGTTGGTTCTGATGAGAGTTGAAGATCTTATTGTGTGTGTGATTATTAACTTATCGGTCTCTTAAAACTAACAACATTGGACATCCGAGAATAACATCAGCAAGTTACATGCTGCAACATTGCATGTAGCACATACTCCTAATGACAAGATGTACAAGAGATAGGAGGTTGTCAGTGCCAGCCTTCAAATCCAGAACACTTTTTTAGCTCCTGTTCTACTCCATAAATACTGCAAGCTAACAGCCCCTCATGGTCTGCCATTTGTTACGTGATCCGTGATCCTAACTGAATCTTGTTCCTTCTGGCCAAAGCCATCTTCCAGCTCGACCTAATCTCTACCCTTGAAAGCCTGGCTCAGGTCACATTGTCACCAGTGCTCCCTGCTCTAAATTCGTATGAAATCTGATTGCATATTTGATCATATTTGAGTGGTAAAATTCACTAGAATAATATTTTGTGCCCTCCCCACCCCAAGATACAGAATGTTGGGACTAAAGCATCGCCTCAGTTCAGATTTCTCTTAAGGAAGCTCTAAATTTCCCATTGAAATTCCTTGGATCAGTAATTCATAAGCTGGTTGCTCTTAATTCTTGTTGTCATTGTTAAGTGCCATGGAGTCTGTTCCAACTCATAGCGAACTTATAAAAGGTTTCCGAGAAGCAGCTGGTGTGTTTGAACCTCCAACCTATAGCACCACACCAGGAGTCTTGATTCAGTAACATAGTACTTAATTCTAGTAACATATTACAAATCACTGTTGATTTAGTTTTGTGTATGTTGATATTAAATCCTTTATCCGAAAACTGTAGTTGTAATTTGTGGATGGGATTGATGGTATGTGAGCCAATTAATCTGATGGTAATTTCTTTGGGGTGTCAGTTTTTGTTTTTAATGTTTTATTGTGAATTATGTGACAGTTTACATGGGAGAACATTTGTTTTACATTCATCCTATCATATATCGTTTCATTGCCATGGTTACAATCCCCTCCATGCATCATCAACCAACCAAAGGGTATATCCTACAAGCCTGCCCCCCACCACGCTCCCCGCCCACCCCCCCTGGTCATAAGCACACAGCCTCTCTCCCTCTCTGGGACTAAAGTCCCCAGCTGCTCCATCTCTCCACATCACCGTCTCTGCCTCCATCTCAGGGATCACTGCTTCTCTGGGGAGGGTCCCACTCTCGCTCTTCTCCCTTCATGGTCCCAGGGACCTCCGCTCCTAGACTGCAAAGTTAATCACTCCCCTCCTTGCTACAAAACATCTACCTTTACATTTACAACCCTCACAATCAGTCCTGATAACAATTATTTACTACTGTATCACAAGAGACCTATCCACATTTAATTTCACCAGTCCCGCCTAGACACATTGGGTACTACTCAGTGGAGAGTCTACCTTCCTCCACGCCCTCTGGATCTAAATTCCCTCTTGAAAGCCTGTAAGCCAGTCACTTCTTGCCTTTGTAGGCCCCACCCCACCCCATTTTGGGTAGCCAATGTCCAAGTGGTCCATCCCTGTCTACTCTGTGTATGGAGGGGGTGGGGATGATCCTTTTGTTACAGAGATTTGTTCCCTCTTTTGAGCTACTGCATCCATAGGTGTAGGTCAAGTTCATCAAATTGTATCAGATTACTCTTTTTTTTCCTCCTCTTCTAGTTGAGCTCTGGTCATCCAGTCATTGAAGCCAGGTCAAGTGGGTATTATCTGCAAGTGTGGGTGTTCTTGTGTGTATGCCCTCTTTTCTTATCAGCTGGACGCTTCACTCTCCACTCTAGTCCTCTGTGACTATGTCACTGACTCTGGGCCCAAGAGTCCCCAGGTCTTGCCACATTGCTGGCCAACTTGGTCTCCACCCGGGTTCATAGGAGTCTATTGAACGTTGTAGGGCTTAGCTTGTAGGATATCAGTTTTGTCACATGGAATTAAAAAAACCCAGCAACCTTAAACACATGGTTCAAAATTCTCATATACAAGGGTAAGTCAAAGCGTTGCTACTCGAGTTCCAGTTCATTCATTGCAGGTTTATTCCAAACAAAACATATTTATACATGTCTCTGTGATCAATGGATGGCTGCAGTAACCAACTTGTCTTAGTCTCAGGCATCTCCCCCCCAGAAAAAGATCCAATGAAAACTGGCTTTCCTGGACCAGTTCAGTTCAAGGCAGAGAGGGCAGCTCAGGTTATAGTGATTGAAAATTACACTGGTAAGAAAAAGTCCAGACAAGTTGCACCAAGAAACTTTGACATGACAGTATACTTCTTCATTCATCAAGAGTAGCAGTGACTGTCCTAGAATTCTCTTGGGAAGCCCTGAGCTTCGCCTTCAGATTTCTTTTTGTTCCCCAAACTCAACATTTCCGAGGAACATGATTCGAGCCCCTTAAGGCTGCCAAACTGTTTTGACGTGGCATACATAGAAGAGGGCAGAATTATTCAAGGAAAGGGTTGTTGTTAAGTGCTGTCGAGTCAGTTCCAACTCACGGTTTCCAAGGAGCAACTGGTGAGCTTGAACCACCAACTTTGTGATTCAAACCGACCTTGCAGTCCAGCACATTAACACCCAGAGAGAGAAACTACCTTCAGAAGTGTATAGGCCTAGATGTTGAGAAATACCACCTCATTTTGATCATTTTGTTTAATAAAGGTGGCTGTAATTTTTTAGCAATATTTTTTGATGTACACTTGCGTTTTAAAGTAGATCTGATTTAAGTGCTGTTAAGTTGGGTTTTGGAAATCTTTGAAGAATAACTTGACAGTAGTCTCTTCAGACGTAATCTTTATAGCAGTATTGCGACCGTCTTCTACTTGACATAGCTGTTGGCTCATCAGTAAATAACTTACATTTCCAAACCTGGAGGAAAATTATGACTGTTAGCTTTTGGGGGGGAGGATTTGCCCAAAAAGCTGGTCGTCATGATAACATGCTATCGAATATGTGTAGAATGTTGTTGAAAGAAAGAAAGCATCGGAATTGGCCCCTGGAAGTGAAGCCATGTGCAGGGAGTCACCCCTTTCCCAGAACTACTGTTCTCAGCAGGCCAGGAACTTGCTGACAGAACCACCAGCGGTTACACTCCCTTTTACTGTCATTTAGGCACTGGGCTGCTCACTGCGAGGTCAGTGATTCGAATCCACCAGCTGCCAATCCGCAGGAGAAAGTAAGACCGGCCCCTCCAGTAAAGATTCCTGTCGTGGGAATCCTCTATAGGGTTGCTGTGAGTCAGAATTAACTTTGATGGCAGCTGATTGTTTTTGTTTGTTTTGTTTTCAGTTTGGCTACTCAGTGTCACTGTGTGGATGGGCCGTCTGCTCTGACTGTTGTTAACTGTTATTGAGTCGGTTCCGACCCATAGCAACCCTGTGTAGAGTTTCTGAGGAGTAGCTGGTGAGCTTGAACCACCAACCTGGCAGTTCAAACGGCTTTGTAGTGTGGCGCATTAACCCACAGCGGGGATCTCAAAACTTGAAATTCCACGTTAGGTATTCTTTAGGGTGTGAAATGAAGTCTTTGTCTCTGCAGGTCACCCTATTTTGAGCTAGAAGTGCCTATGGCACAAGAGAGCTTTAGCAGATGAGGTGGGGGTTCAAACAGGGATCTCAGAAAATCAAGTTAGTATGCTGGTAGCTCACTTGCTACTGTTCATGAAGTGTTTGCATCCACACAGTGGGTGTCACACTGGGTCGCACAGTCTTACCAGTGAGCTGACAGCTTTGTGGAGGACAGACAGAGAGTGGTGATGAGGCGTGTGTGAGTAGTAATCGAGGGGTGTAAATCACATCAGTGTTGCTGAAAAGACTGAAATGGTGATAGAATTTTGTGTTGAGTCATTAATCAGGTTTCTCCTCTTCCTGAGTGAGCCATGCTTCTAGATGGAGAAGCTGGTCCCTATACCTCGTCAGTGGCCCTGAATGGTAGGTACTGTGGCTCTTTTTCTACCTCTCTGGGCTTGAGCCAGTGCACCTGGTGGTGCGGACAATGGGTCCTGGAGGCAGGCAGCCTGCCCTGAACTCTGTGTGATCAGAAAGTCTCACCCTCAGCTTTATCCACGATAACCTGAGAACACTAGAGCCAGATACCCCTGTCATTGTCTGGGTAGTATGACAAACCCAAACCCAAGGCCACTGCCATCTAATGGATTCCAACTCACAGCAACCCTGTACGGGGGTTCCATGGCTGTAAATCTTTACGGGAGCACAAAGCCTCATCTTTCTGCTTGCGAGCAGCTGGTGGGTTTGAACTGTGGACTTTGTGGTTAGCAGTCCAATGCACCACCAGGGCTCCTGTGAGAGGTGCTGGGAAAAGCATGTAGATGAGCCCTCTTTATTGTGGTCAGTGCTAGTGAGTGAGATTCTGAGG